CAAGCAAAAGCAGAAACATAAAAAAGGACAGAAAAAGAAAGAACAGAAAAAGAAGAACAAAAAAAAGAAAAAGCGAAAAATAACAGAGAAATACCGGTTCCACTGAAAAACCGACTGACTCAATCTTCTGGACCTACGGCGGATACTGCGACGAATGCACGGCCCTTGGAGGGAACACAATCGGATGCAGCAGGATCAAGTGAGTCAAGACGATCCCTTAGCTGGCGCACGGTGATTCGCAGGTTCGCAAGACTGGCCCTTAGTGATTCGATGTCTGGTCGCAGGGGCCGAAGGAGGCACAAGACTTCTATCACCGGACCCAGGAAAAATTCAAGGAATTCAGACTGTAGAGATCAATGAAGGCCCGCAGTTCCAACTCAAAGGCAGATGGGCAGTGAAGTTCAACCCCAGGATCAAAGAATGTGGTGTCACAAATCACCTGAAGCAAAGCTGAAGCTAGACCTCCAGAGACACCAGCCAATGCCGCAGGTCGCATGAGGTGAGCTGCAAATGTAGAGTCCGGTTGCGGAATCCCAGTTGCGGAACCCCGGTTGTGAAACAATCAATGCAGCTGAATGCATTTGCAGAATCCGACCAAAATAGTTGTGGAATCCTAGTTCGGAGTGGGAACCTGTTCCTTATGTGAAGCCACCCTAAGATGTTAACTGTTATACCCACATGATCCCATGTCATGGGAGCCTTCTCCATAATAATTACATGACAAACCTTGCAAGTATGAGCAAGTATGTCTTTTATTGGGGGAAGCATCAGCACGCCCCGAAACACGTATATCAGTGGGGAGGCAGTAAGGCAAAGGAAATACAGATTCACTTCGATGTCCCTTTCGTTTCGCTTCGGCTCGGCTTGCGTCGACATTGCAACGTCTTGATTGGAGCACGACGAAAGTGCAGCAGTTTGTTCTCTTGGAAAATACGTACTGTCAGTGTGCCTCCAAATAGGCTTGGTAAGCAGCCCTCCAGTACTTCGCAGGGCCTCAAAGCAACAATACAACACTATTCAATACTTGACGCAAGCAAACGACTCCAATCCACAATACCCACAAAGTCCCTATGACCACAGAAGGTGATAATTCGTTGCCCAAACAGGCTCAAAGGGTCAACGGGTCATTTGCAAGTTGCTTGTCCAGCTCCGTATTTCTGCAACCAAAGCTGTCAAAGGACACGAGAAACACCAGCCGCTCAGGGCCAAAACGTCCACCACGGAAAACATCCACGCACTCGCGATGTGTGAATGACTGGATGAGCCCCTGGCCATGACATCCAAGACATCACCAGCCGCATCGGTTCCAAAATGATCCAAAGCCTGAATTCACTCAAAGTCACACCAGGCTATATATATATATATGTGTGTTTTCACTTCACTTGCTTCCAGAGCTGCACAAGTCTAAGTCTGCAACGGGACCTCAAGACTCCCTTCCTGCCGCGTGCCTGAAATGGCACCAGGCTTGAGCACCTCAGCCAACACTTGGGCCTAGATCCGATGACCGAGTTGTTGCCTTGAGCTTCGATGATGAACTGGCTACCAATCCTGAGGGTCATGCCACCACATGGCAGTTGGTGCCACACTTTTCCTAAGCGTGGTGCACCCTCAAGTATTTTTCGCGAAAGCCATGCGAAGTGTTTTCATGAGAAAACTTCAAGATCTCCAAGGTCTCCCTTCCAACGCCATTATCGCCATTATCGTTATCTACTGTCTATGTTACTTCACCTTCGTCATGATATCATGATAACCGTTTATATGTATATATATATGTATATATGCATCACGTTGTTCTTTTTGTTTGGTGTCCCCATCATCCATGCTGGTTCATCTTCAACCTCATCTTGTCATAACCCATCATCACTGCCACTTCATCTTGGCACCTGACAAACAACATCACCTCACATGTAGAAGATGCCGCAGATCGGATGTCGGCCGATGTAGATCTCTGCAGGAGTCGATTGCTCCAAATGTAGCACGGTCTGAGTAAATGAAGGTCTCTGCTCTTTCGACTTCGATATCAAGGCACGCAAGACTTTGGATATGGCGATGTTGAGAGAAGTCAGATTTCGTGGCAGGGGCAAGTGCTTTACCGGTGAAAGAGTGATACGACCTGGTAAGAGTACTTTTCTACCTGTGGTGACGTGGTACATTTCTATCGATCGTCATCATAGTTATCATGTTGTAACTATCATGAAAGTAATATGATAATCATGTCCTTTGAAATCATTGATATTTTTGTTGTAATTATTTTCACTAGTTACTAGTTCCATTCGCGCTGGTGGGCACAGGCAAAATGAAAGTCCCACAACCGCGGCAAGGCCCTGTGCTGCATGAATCACCATGTGTGGGGATTGTGGATGGATAATTTGAGTAAAGGCGCTTCGGTTTATGGAAGCGCACTACCAAACTCAATGTAATTCCAACGGAGCCGAGGGAAGGAGCACGCCGGTAAAGAGTTAATCAAGAACAAATGGAATTCAAGATTTTCTGAAGCTTGTTCCTTTTCTTTTGGCATATTGTTTATTTGCTTCTAATAGCGATGGCGTCCAACCTAATAGCGATGGCCTCCACCCTAGCAGCGATGGCCTCCAACCTAATTGTAGAATTCACCATTGCTCAAAACCTATCGAGAATTGGTTCTAATATGTTCTAATGGGCCTCTTCTTTCGCAAGTTCCTTTCGCAACACTTTTGCGGCTTGCGTTTTGGCTTTCCCGCGCTGCGTTCTGTGCAAAAACACTTTCACAAGCTTTCGCGGACGAAACTGATGTCGCAAGCTTTTGCCAACTGTCCAGAGCTTTTGCAAGCTTTCGACAATGAAACGTTCGCGCATGTTCGCACAATCTTTCGCGGATCTTTCGCTACTGCATGTTTTGCTTTCGCGAAGGCATAATACAGTAACCTCTCTTCAAATTGTCACTTGGGAAGTTTTGGCCACTGCTCATAGGCGCCCGCACTGGATAGCTGAGGGCCTCCCGCTCTGCAGCCAGCTTGCCCTCTCTGTATGGGGCCTGGGTTGCACTACAGCACCAGGTCTTTTGTGCAACTTGAGGCCAGAGGGGGTGAACGAAAGCTAGCCGGGCGGGGAGGCGTGCGCATGCTAGGGTGTGGCTGCGCAGACAACCAAGCAAACCACCAAGCAGCAGCAGCAACGGACCACCAAGCAGCTGCAGCAGCAGCA